TGAGTGTGAATGTGTTGGGATACATATGCAGAACATGTGTCTGTGTATACATCTGGGTCTAGACACATGTACGTCTCCCAAGGGCATCCCAGGGATCCCCCAAGAGTCCCAAGGCTGTCCGAGGTGACCCAAAGGGAGGTCGGAAGTTTCTGGCGTCTCTTTGGGCTCCCTGGCCTCCTGGGTGGCCATTTGGAGTATCCTTACATGTCCCGGCCCCGCCCAGAGAACGGGAGCCCAGGCGGAGCAGGCCCCCCCCTTCCCGGGCAGAGCTCCCCCCCCCCCCCCCCCCCCCCAGCCGAGCTCAAGCTCAAGCTGCAGGTTGTAGCTTGGGCTCTCCGAAAGTCACACGCCGGGTCGGAGGATGTACGGGGAGAGAGAAGAGAGAGAGAGAGAGAGAGAGAGAGAGAGAGAGAGAGAGAGAGAGAGAGCGAGAAAGAGAGAGAGAGAGAGAGAGAAAAAAAAGGGAGAGAGAGAGAGAGAGAGAGAGGAGAGGGAGAGGGAGGGAGAGAGAGAAAGAGAGGGAGGGAGAGAGAGAGAGAGGGAGAGAGAGAGAGAGATGCCTTGAGGAAACAAATCCCTAGGATTCTCCGACGCCAGTTCCCCCCAGTAGTGTACACGGGGGATCCCCGCCTCGCACATCGAGTCTTGGAGCCCCGGGGGGAAGTCATGGTCCGCTGGCCGTGGGGCCCGCGCGCGCAGGGGCGGCCGGGAGAGCGCGGCGGCGCGCGGAGGACGAGCGCGCCTACGACTACCTCAAGATAGCGCCACCCGACGTCCAGGATGTCCGCCTCCGTCCTCCCTCCTCCTCCTCCTCCTCCTCCTCCTCCTCCTCCTCCTCTCCTCTCCCCTCCTCCTTCCTCCTCCTCCTCCTCCTCCTCCACGTTCTCCTCCTCTCCTCCTCGTCCTCCTCCTCCTCCCTCCTCCTCGTCCTCCTCCTCTTCCTCCCCTCCTCCTCCCTCCCTCCTCCTCCTCCTTTTCCCTCCTTCCTCCTCCTCCTCCTCCTTCCTCCTGCTCCTGCTCCTCCTCCTCCTCCTCCTCCTCCTACTCGCTCCTCGCTCCTCGCTCCTCGCTCCACCTCCTCCTCCTGCTCCTCCTCCCCGTCCTCCTCCTCCCCCTCAAGGAGCGGGTGATCAGCACGTTCAGGGCCAATTGTGTGCAGGACGACTACTCGAGGACTCTGCTGCCGACCCGGCCGGCCGTCGCTCGGCATCTTCGCGTCGAGGTCTCGGAAGTAGCGACACATGCGGTAGCAACCCATGGGAGCTTTGGGTACCTTCTCAAGTCCGTCTTTAGAGCATTTGGGCGTCGATGAGATAGCGGCGAGGTAGCGTCGGCTAGCGTCGTTTTCAGCGTGAAGTCGGGCCTGTCCCTCTACAGGGGGAATGTTCCGAAACAGTCCGAACATAGTTTTGGGGCGACTGCTTTTCATACTTGCTCGACTACTTTGGGGTACTGCCTGTGAGTATCTGTTTTCATTTATCGCTAAAAGCCCCGCTGTAGGGGGGACAGGCCCCACTTGATCTAAGTTGGGCCTGTCCCCCTACAGGGGGGTTTTCGACGAAAAATAAAAGATACACCAAACATGCCCCTAAAATGGCAGACAAATGCTCAACAAATAGTATCCAGACTATTTTTGGATGATTTTGGTACTATTTTTGGTGTATTTTTATTTCTCGTCGAAAATCCCCCTGTACCATACTGCTACCCTCTGCTCGTCTTCCCCTTCGTGGGCCTCCTGGGAGGCCTTCGTCGCCACCGCTGGATTCGCCTGTCGGTATCGGTATATGTTAGTTTCCCTCAAATCGGGGGACAGCGAGGGCTGCCGCAAAGAGACCCTTTCAGGGCCCCTAAAAGGGCCCCTTTTGGCCTAGAAAGCGGCTTGCTGGGCCCGAGAAGGGCATTGTTCTTTCCCCCCCAGTTGTCGCCCCCTATCGATTCGTGCCCATTTTAGGGGGACCTTTCCTGCCCTGCAGATGGCAGCCTTCTCTTGCAATCCGACATGGGTTCGACACGGATTCGACGCGCTCGACATGCACGGATTCGATACGGGTTCCGTGTGGATCGCGGCGCGACGGGACAGGCAGGCCCCCCCGAATATGCAGCGTAAGAACTGGTATTGATACCGCGCGGGGGGGGGCGGCCAGGCCTTCGGGCCTCGGAGTCGGAAGAAGGTGCCGATACAGTCGAGGTATTACCGGAAGGAGGGGGGAAGGAAAAGCGACAGCAGCACCTTCAGGGTGCAATTTGCAGCGCAGAGGTCCAAGATTCAGGCGATCGCAAGCATGGATTAAGGGGGCGTGGATTAGCGACGGGTCCCGTTTCCATGGGAAATCGCGGATTTCCGCCGCCGAACGAGGCGGCACCGGCCGCATTTGGGTGAGGGCACCTTCCCCGATCCATGTTTGCGCGCCACCGAATGATGCCTCCCCGTGCCGGGCAGAAGGAATGTCTCGAGCGAGAGGTGGGACCGCACCACCAGCGGGGCCCCTCCCTGACGCCTTCCGCTGGTGCTCCCTGGTGGTGTTGGCGTCGGTTTTCCATGTTCCTGAGAAGAGCACTGAATTGGGAACGGAACCTCTTTTTGGCGCCAACAGCGCCTGGGTGCACGAGGAGGGCTAGAGTTAAGTCGGGCCTGTCCCCCTACAGCGGGATTTTCGACGAAATATAAAAAATAGTCCAACAATTGTACAACAACAGTCTGGGGATTATTTTGTTGAGTATTTTGAAACCTTCTTGGAGTAATTATGTTTGGGGTATTTTTTATTTTTCGTCGAAAATCCCCCTGTAGGGGGACAGGCCCGACATAAGGCTAGAGGAACATCCACGGCATAACCTGAGGAACGGCGAGCCCCTTCCGAGCCCACATCGGCCTTTGTTCCCGCGTCCTGCCCGTGTCGCTGTCCATCTCTGGCGTTTCTCGCCCATCTGGGCCTTTGGGGAGGCCCCCGTCGTCATAGCTGGATTCGCCTCGAAGCTCTTACAGTGCCGTTTTTTTACACATGCTCCGCGTGCGGATCATGTATTAGATATGCAGGGAATTAGAATTAAAGACAACGATGAGTTCATGCATATAGTTACTCAGCAATTAGTCATGTATCAAACATCCATTCGTTTAAATCCTATGTATTAAAAACTACCCTCTACCTGGGAGACGTCCGGGGAGTAGCGGTCTCGGTATCTTGCGGTTTTATCGAGGCAGGCAGGGCGTTTCGTGGAGCCTCTCGAGGGCATCTCGTGGGCCTCTGGGACCATCTTGTGCAATCCTGGGGCCATCTCGAGGCCATCGGGGCTCATCTTGTGGCATCTTGGGGCCACACTGGGGCATTGTTGAGCCATCCTGGGCGATTCGGGCGGCATATTGGTGCGTTGGGGGCCACCTCGAGGCCATCTTGGGAAATCGAGGCTCTGAGGGCAGTGCTTTAGGTTTCAGGGATCTCTGGACATCTTGGGAGCAAACTGTGGGACATGAAAGGATGGGTGAAAGCACTCTGACTGCGAAGACCTTACGTACGGCCAGTGCCGCCGACCTTGGAGGGGAACGTCGACGACAACGGTGGCGGCGGCGACCGAGTCCTCTGAGATGCTTCTTGGGATCTCTTGGGAAGGCTCTCGGGGGCCTCTGGGGAGGAATTGTTGGGTCTCTTGGGAGCCTCTTGGGGGCCTTTTCGGTTGTCCTGGGGCCCTTCTATGGGCTTCTCGGGGCCTCTTGGGAACCTCTTGGGGCCTCCTGGGAGCTTCTCGGGGCCGGGGGCTCAAAATGTCCCGTTCGTGTTTCCCGTCAAGGCACGCTCTTGGAGCCGTCTTGGGAACCTCTTGGGTCGTCTTGGAGGCGTTTAGAGCTGTCTTGGGGTTCTCTTTGGATGTTTTGGAGCGCTCTTGAAAGCCTCTTGGGACGATCTTGAGGGCCTCTTCGGCCGTCTTGGAGCGGCGGGAAGCGGAAAAGGCGAGAACGACTTGACGAGAATCAGCGACGTTTGCCTCTTGGGTCCCTCTGGGGAGTGCCTTTGGAGGCCTCTTGGGGCGTCTTGGAGGTCTCTTGGGCAGTCTAAGAGCGTGAAAGCGTTTTGGACCGATCGTTTGGTGATTGGGGGCCCTCTTGGACCGTCTCGGGGGCCTCTTTGGGCACTCTTGGTTTATTTTGGTACTTTTTGCAGCCTCAGGACCCCCAGGGGGGGGATGCGTATCTGACACCTCCCCCGTCCCCCCCCGGCCCCCCCCCCACGTGGGAGGGATCAAATGGAAGGGGCTTGTTTTCGATTCGATTACGATATTGCGAGGATTTTCTTTCGCTGACAGGCTTGAGGAGAGTGCAGGGAAAGGGGGCGACGCAGACGACGACTGACGGAGACAACGACTCGAACTGACAAACCCCTCGCACACGCCGACCGGGTCGGCGGAATGTTGAGCGTGTTTCGTCTTGTCGGTGATGTATTGCGTCTTTCCTGGGCCATCTTAGATGCGTCTTGGTGCCATCTTCGGCCGTCGTGGGCTTGTGAGGCACTTCTTCAGTGGCCGTCTTCGAGGTCCATCGGACCTGCCTGGCCGTGCGGTGGCGTCCCTCTAGGAATCTCGGGACAACCTGGAGCACCTAGGAATTGGCTGGGACCCCCCCCTTTTCTTTGGAGGGTGGCAAGGGTCGGGCTCCGCGGTAGACAGTCCAATCGAGATGGCTCGACGGCAGAAATTTGTTCCAGACCGAGGTGACACACTGTAGCGCCTTGCGTCCTCAGGGGAGCCAGCGGATCTGTTCTCGCCCTCCCGGACTCCGACGCGAACGCTGTGTTTGTTTTCCCGCGTGTGTTGGCTCACTTATTTCAAAGAAAGCGCGTTGAGGATTGCATTCCGACGCAAGACCAATGGTGTTCTCATTTGTTGCGCAGCATTATTTAGTGTTGTCGTCTGGCCCGCGTGAATTTGGCACGGTTGGCTTGCGGGGCTCGGACAAAACATTCAGTGCAGTTTCGAGGACACGGTTCGGTGAAGGTTGCAAGGAATCACGGGCCAAGAGCATGCATAGTATCATAGGGGGCGTTGTTTTTTGCTTCGGCCCGTTGGTTGCCTTGCCTGCTCTGTTCGTCGCAGCTTGTCGCCGAGAGTGTCCCACACCGCCCTTTGACGAGCATGATTTTATGTTGGCAATTCCGGTGAGGATGATTACGGCGCACGTTAAGTTCTGCATGTCGAAGCGGGACCAGCCGGGCCATATCACTGGGAGGGGAAGGGCGTTGAATGGTCATGGGTCGTTGCAGAGAGTATTGAGTTTGTTTGCAGGGGATGCCTCACAAGTTGTCCCTGCATATATGCCAGCGCGAATCCGTACACGCGCAAGCATTTCCAAGCTTTGGCTAGTTTTCGTCTAGTCTGCTTCAGCCAGCCTCACCACCATGCCCGTGCCCGCCAGCAGGCTTTCCCAGCCCCGGCCGCATCTAGTCAAACTGATGTTCGATGCCACAGTTTCTGGCTTTCCTGCCTCCGCGCACCGCGCTTCTCTCTCGCCCTGATAGCAGCTGCCCTGCGATTTTGGATGCCGCCGCCGGGACAGTCCAGTGCTGATTCGTTGGTTCGGTTGCGCCAGCGTGCGTTGGACAACTCGGCGGCGAACTCCGAACACTACCCTCGATCGATTCTGGCAACTCGATCGGGGCGGCGGGGGCAGGGTTCGGCATCCGTCGAACCCGGGGCGAAATCCGAATCGTGCCTCCGCCTCCCATCGAGGCATGAGAACCGATTGCGGGCAGCACTTATATCCATATCCAGAGCGTCTTGGACGTTTAAGGAAGAGGTGCCGCAACGCCGAGGCGCTCTGGATATGGATAAAATCAAGCCTCTTGGGGCCGCATTTTTACCCATATCCAGTGCGTCTACGGTTTCTGGGGACGAGGGCCCAAGACTCCAAGACGCACTGGATGTGGATATAACTATTGCCCGCACCGATTGTTGGTGGGGGTAGTAATCGGATGTCGCCGCCTCCACTCGACTGTCCGGGGATCACAAGATAGTCCGATGAAGGTCGTGTGTCCTGCCGCGTACGGCAAATCCGGCCACCGTGCCCAGGTCGTGGGTTGTAAGCCCAGTGGTTGTTCGTTGGACTCTCGCGGGAGGCCTCTCGGCGGTCTGCTGGAGGCAGGTTTGAGGCCCCGTGTGGGCCGTTTGGGGGCCTCGTGGGGGCCTCCTGGGGGCCTATTTAATGGGGCGGAAGGCTCGGATGTTCTGTTCATGTTCCCTCCATGGGGCCCGTTTCGGGGCCGTCCTGGGGCCCTCTTGGGCCGTCCTGGGCGCCTCTTGAGCCGTCTTGGGGCGCTCTCAGGCCATCTGGGGGCTCTCTTGGGCCATCTTGGGGCTCTCTTAGGCCATCTTGGGGCCTTCTTGGAGGCCTCTTTGGCCGTTTCGGGATGATCTTGGGGCCATCTTCGGCCGTCTTGGGCTCCCCTTGGGCCGTTTTGGGGCGCTCTTTGGCCGTCTGGGGGCCCTCTTGGAGGCTTCTTGGGCCGGTTTGTGGTGATCTTGGAGGTTTCTTCGGCTGTCTTGGAGTGTCGGAAGGCCGAACACGCGAGAACTTTGAAAAGAGAAGGCAACTCACTGGATTGTGCCTTTGGGGGTTCTCGTGTGAGACCTCGTGGACCTGTGCCCTGTCTCCCTAATCAGAGCTTTGCGTAGCCCGCCTAGCTCTTAGCGGAAGAGGTTCGCTCTCGCCCCGCCGACCAAACAAGTGTGAGACCTCGGGGGAGATCTCCCGGAGCGCCCTGGAGAGCCCCTGGCGCCACCTCGAGGCCACCTTGGGCGCCTTCGGGCGCTCGTGCGGCGCCTCGGGGCACAATTTGGGACCGCCTCAGGGGGCCTTGCGGGGCTACCATGGACTCGGGCCGGACGAAAGGGGGGGGGGATCGGGAAAGGGGGGGGGGTACGTAAAACAACGCGAAGATCGGGATAACATCGGATCGGGGTAATTCGAAATCTCTGAGAATCGGCGGGTTTGGAGGATGTATTGGGCGCCGCGGCCGCTCCAGAGCGTTCCAGAACGCTCTGAGAGCGCTCGGGAACGCTCTGGAGCGATTTATCCCGATCCTAGCCCTGTTTTATTATGAAATTTGCTGCATGCAGCTGGATTCGGCCTCACCGAGGGGCCCATTCCTCGATGCATGGCCGCCTCCTGCGCCGGGAGGCGCAGGGAAAATCAGCTACGTGAGCTGACTCTCAGACCCCCCCTTTGCTATCCCCCCCTTTCGCCCGACCCGACATGGACGCCCTGGAGCGCGGCCCAGGGAGGCGCCGGGACCGACGAGGGGCAACCCCCGGGGGCACGTCCGGTGGACGCCACGAGGTGCGGCTCGGAGGGGGGGGGGCCTTAGTAGAGTGCAGCTCAGGAAGCGGGAAAACACACGCAGAAGTCACACAGTGCATTGTCAGTCCCCCAGACAAGGTGGGAACGTGTGGGAAGGGGGGGGGGGGGCAGACGAGTACCCCCGAAGATATGCAGGAATGTAGGGAATCTTGGGCCCC